GTGTTCTTTCTCAGGATCTTCTACAATCTAAAGTAAACTTCGACCAGATATCATGTCAAAAGTTCTCTCAGATGTGCAGTTCAAAGCCTACCTTGTCAGCCCACATGTGTGTGCGGGACAGAAGCTCTGTGAGGCACTAAAATAACAGGCAGGTAGCAGAGGGATGGGAACCAGCAGGCCCAGGTGCTTGGCTAGCGAACAGCAATGATACATACTGCTTCTTAGTTCACTCAAACCTGCATCCTTTATTTGGGATTATCTTCAAAAGCTAGTCATGGCAGCAAGTTAAATTGGGGTAAACTTGCCTCATAAATTTATAAACATAAAATATTTTATAATAAAAGAATAACTTTCAAAATTTTTTAATCATGTAAATATTTAATATTCACCTATAATATACTTTGTAGCTAGATTCTATGAGACTTTCAAAAGATAGTGACAGCATAAAAGCTACATAGAGCTTGCAGTCTAAATTAGGGGTATCAAGAGGAAACAAAAACAAATGGAAAAAGCGATAAATTGTAAGATGCAGCCTCCACATGAAATAGAAGAAAATGGAGAGATCATTGAAAGCTGACGGAACTAGAGAAATTATCTTGAAGGTGATGGATTGGGTAGCATTCGGATAGTCAGCTGAAGGAGAAACATTTTAGATCTGGAAATGGGAGTAATTTTGAAAAGATTCCTGGGGCTGCGCCTGTTGCTCAGTGGGTAGGGCGCCAGCCCCATACACCGAGGGTGGCAGGTTCAAACCCAGCCCTGGCCAAAGTACAACAAAAAATAGCTGAGTGTTGTGGCAGGCGCCTGTAGTCCCAGCTACTTGGGAGGCTGAGGCAGGAAAATCGCCTAAGCCCAGGAGTTGGAGGTTGCTGTGAGCTGTGATGCCACAGTACTCTACCGAGGGCAATGAAGCGACACTCTCTGTCTCTAAAAAAAAAAAAAGAATTATGGAAAAGTTCTTAAGACTTAGGCTATGCTATCAAATATTTCTATACCCAGGATTCTGCTCTATTTCGTTAAAACTTGAAAGTACTTCTGTGCTTTTAGAGGATATCCTCTTATGCCCTACACTTATCCTGTCTAGGCATATAATGCCTTATAAGGCATATCAAAGGACAAAATTTTTTATGAACTTTCTTAGGTTTTTAAATGACTATGGAACATCTATAATCTCTGCAACACAAATTGTATTTTTTTCTCCCTTTTTTTATTTTTTTGTGTTCTCAAAGGAACAAGCTGTACATAGATGTCCTTAAGTACTGTGTTCTTATACCACATGATAGAACAGTTGACAATCTATTTCCTATAGCAATATATTTTAGTTTTTATTTAATTTTGAGTTTGTTTTCTATTGTAAGGTACCTTTCATCAGCATTATTGGTCATTAAGAAATTGCAAATTAAAACCACTGTGGATAGTACTTTGCACCCACTTAGAGTGATCAACTGCCTCTGATTACCTGGGACTGAGGGTTTTCTTGGAACACAGAACTTTCAGTGCTATATCCTGGAAAGTCCAGGCAAATTGGGGCTAGTTGGCCACCTTATGCCCACTAGAGTGGCCAACATACAAAAAGACAACACCAGGTGTTGCAGAGGGCAGGGAAAAACTAGAACCTTCATATGTTGCTGAGAGATGGGTTATAAAATGGTACAGCCACTTTGGAAAACACTTTGGCAGTTTCTTAAAAAGCTAACCTTAAATTTACTATACAAAGCAGAAATTCCATTCCTAAGTATTTACCCCAATGAAGTGAAAACATATGTCCACACAAAAACATATAAATGAATGCTCATAGCAGTATAATATATCCATTACACAATGGAACATTACTCATGAAAAGGAGCAAAATACTGATATATGCTACAACATGTATAGACCTCAGACACATTATATTAAGTGGAAGAAGGCAGACACAAAAGTTACATGCTGCATGATTCCGTTTATATGAACTATCAAGGAAAGGCAAATCTTTAAAGACAGAGTAGATTAGTGGTTACCTTGGGTCTAAGGGTAGGAAAAGAGAATTAATGTGTATAAGTACGAGGGATATTTTTGGAGGGGATGGAAATGTTCCAACACTGGATTGTGGTGATGGTTGGCACAACTCTATGTTAATTTTAAAAAACACCCAATTGTACCATAAAACAGGTGAAGTTTGTGGCACATGAGTTATGCCTCAAAGCTGCTTTTATAAAAACCATTCACTACAGAGAATTTTTTTAAAACTCAGAAAATAGAAAAGAGGAAGAATGAAAATCACTCACAATTCCATCCAATGGAGACAGTCACTATTAAAATTTTGATATATTCCTTTCAATATATTTTACACGGTTTTCCCCTCACACACAGTAATTTAAAATTTTCAGTTTTAATAAGTGGGAAAATCCTTGTAGTGTTATTGAAGGCATAACACGAGGGCAGAATGAGGGTAGTTTCAAAACTACCTTTGAAACAAGAACTACTTTCTTTAAAAAAAGGTATTTTACTCTAGGGTTGCCATCTTGACATTTTGACATTTAATTGCTAAAATAACCCTGAAGACAAACGAATATGGGGATTTTCACTTTTGTGAGTGACTAAGCTAATAACAATCCAGTTGATCAGCAAAGCTTTGTTGTATACTCATTGTCTCTTGCACCGTTACCATGAAAACATGAATGTGTCACCATTTCTTTGAGCCGAAATTTAAGTTTTCCAGATTTTAGTATGTGATTTGGGGTTCACAGTAAGGTTATTCTTAAATGCATATGCTGAAAATTGAATTTTTAATCTTAACTTTACAGCTTGGATTGGATTTTAAGTAATTTTACTGTATTTTAAATACTGACAGATTGCTCTCAAGGGAGTGGTATTTTACATTATGCTCCTGGTGACGGTCAGCAGCCTCACCTATTGAAGCAAGGTAAGAATTTGAACATACTGTTCTTACTTTTCCTATCCTAAATGTAATTTTGTTGTTATTGGTAAGACAAGGTCTCAGTCTCCAGGCTAAAGTGTAGTGGCTCAGTCATAGTTCACTGCAACCTCAAGCTCCTGGGCTCAGGCAATCCTGCCTCAGTCTCCCAAAGTGCTGGGATTACAGGCATGATCCATGGTTCTTGGCCTTAAAAATGTATTTTTAAATGTGTAGGAAGAAGCTCCATGGGCACTGGTCTCAGCGGTGGGAAACGTCCAAGTCAGGAAGAGGACATGCAGAGTGTTGGTCCTAAAGTCCAGAGACAGAGCACTAATTAGGTAAATACTTCGGAGCTTTATTTCTTCTTTTTAGTAGAGTATATAATAGCATAAATTAAGGTAATTTACAAAATGGAACACATCTCTGTTTTCAAACCAGAGAATCTTAAAGCATAAATTTTTAAGCGATTGTTACCAATCAGTTAATTTTTGGACAAGAGAGATGTATCTGTTACTGGGTGTAATTGCTACACTCAGTTTTATGGTCATCTGAATTGATGCCATTTAAATCTGAAAAACTTATGATTATGATCAAGCTTTTTCCTAGTTCTTTTTATTTTAGTAGCATTATAATATACTCTTTTTATGAACTTTCCCCCAAATTTTTGCCTCTTAAATGTTTGTAAATTTTTTTCTCTGTTGTGATGTTTCCAAACTGTAAATTCGTTCCAGTTTGGGAATAGTTTAAATTTTTTTAAATGTTGGGCCTTTTTAGAAGTACCAGAAGCCATGCCTGCGTTCTGTTTTAATTGATTTGGGATACTATTTTATGATTGAATTAATATGAAAAGTATTTCCTTATTGTCTTTACCAGTCCTTAAAAACTTTTTATTTCTTCATTTACCTTAAACTGTTTACATTTTTTATCACTTCATTTTTAATGCCAAATTAATTAGACTGTAAATATCATGAAATAAGGTCAATAAATATTTATCAAATTTTTATCATTTAATTCTTTGCAATCAAGCTTTACTCAGTTTTTTTTCCCTTAAATCACAGAAAACATTCAGGAGGAATACTGTTGCAGCTGAAATTGGTGGGAAGTTCAATACTTTTCAATTAAATTATTTTAAAATGTTCTTCATTGATGGAAAGCAGTTACATTTGAAATGCATTGTTTCTAATGACATTTCTGTGGTTTTTAACTTTTTAATGAATTTCACATAGGGCAAATGGTAATTTGTATATAAAGAACTTGGTAAAAGAATTTGCTTAAATGTAAATGTAAATAGCTACAATTAGTATAGACCCATCAATATATTTTTGATAATTTTTCATGTATGGTAAAATGTTAAAGTTAACAGATATTCTGATACAAAATTCAAAGTTTTGAGAGTCATTGTGGGAAAACAGGAGGTTTTTAGACTTTCTTAAAAACTTTGTTAAAATTTTAGGACAAAATTTTCTTGATGTTGTTTAATCTAAACTTTGTACTCTTTGATAATAATGTTTTAGAAAATGTGCATCATCAAAATTGGTAGTGGTAGCCTCTGTTAACACAAGATAGTATCTGTTTTAAAGCTTCATGTACATCTGTTTTAACCTAAACTTGTGGAAGATCATGTACTAAATTCTCCTTGTCGCCCTTTCTTTATTCATTTACAGTTAAAGTGACTTTGTTATTAAAGTATATGCAAATATAAAATCTTGTTTATTGGTGGTTTTTTAAAATTTTGGTAAGAGGGAAGACCATTGCTACATGCAAAACACAGAGACAGATTTTGTAAATTCTGTAAACTACATATCATTTTGAATGAAGGAACAGCTACGATATATTTAGTAAAACAATAGTTTCAAAAGTATCTGCAAGAAGGATTTAATACCAAGGAGAATTTTCTCATAATGGCCCTTGTAACGACGAGTTAGGCAGTAGAGGATAATGAGAATGTGGGCTGTGTAGTCCTAATGCATGGCTCATGTTCTCTTTAGCTTTGAGCTCTTGGGAAAACTCTTAACTTTCTCGTAAATTTGTGCCTTCTTTTTTCTCATCTATAAAGTGGGGATGAGAATAGTATCTGCTCCATAGTCCAGTTCCACGCAAAATGCTCATAGCGGTGCCTGCATGTGGTAGGACCCTCCAGGGCTCCGCGCTGCTTTACTCCCTCAGTGTGTTGTGCAGAGATGTAAGCCACAGCTCTGATCAGCAGCTGTTACTGCTAATACACATGTTATTACTCCTTTACTGTTTTCTAGTTAGGCTAGATCTTACCATCCTGATTTATATATCACAAGTGACTTTTCATTTTCTCATCTTTACTAGTGGTAGATATTCAATGTAATATTTCTTTTTTTCTTCAGATTAATATAAGGGTACATACAATTAGGTTACATTGTTTGCATTTGTTAGGTAAAGTCCAAGTTGTACTTGAGCCCTTCACCCAGTATGTGTGCTGTTACCCCTAATTTATGCCCAGTAGGTGACAGCTTACCAAACCCTCACCCCCCTCCTGCACCCCCGTCTCAGATCTAATTGTGTTTTTCTTTTCTGTGGGCATCTAGTTGTTCATCTACTAGATTCATATTAGTATTGAGTGCACTGGATGCTTGCTTTTCCATTCTTGTGCTTTACGTAGGAGCATGTTCTCTAAATCCAGCCAGGTAAATACAAAAGATGTAAAGCCATCTTTCTTTATGGCTAAATATATGGAGAATCCTCAAAGAGCTTAAAAGTAGACCTTCCATTTGATCTGCAGTCCCATTACGAGGTATCTAATTCAGAAGAAAGCAACATGTTCCATAAGGACATTTGCTCTAGAACAGTGGTTCTCAACCTTCCTAATGCCGCGACCCACAGGTTCAGAACCGCTGCTCTAGAATGTTTATCACAGCTAAATTTACAATCACCAAGATGTGGAAACGACCAAGTGCCCATCACAAATGGATAAATAAACTATGGTATATGTATAGCATGGAATACTATTCAGTCAATATAATTCCATTGAAAGGTAACTAATAATAAATTTAAGGCAAAAATGTAGAAACAATATATTTTAGATAATATACATTTAAAAAATATCCTGGATAATTAGCAATGATAAATTTCATTGCTGAGAAATAGAAGGAAAAAAACTGTGCTTTATCTTTCTTTTGTCACCACTGTTGAAAAGGAGTAACGTTTTTATTGTTTTTCGTCATACCTGTACTTTACATCCTATTTTTTGAACCTGATTGTACTGTGCAGAGGTGATAAATTCATGGATCTGAAATTTACTGTTACCATCCCAGGGGAGAAAAGATTCCATTTTAATGTGAATACATAGGATTGCCGAAAAAGCAATCCTATGTACTATTTCAGCACATGCACTGATTTACTACTTATAAACGTAGAGGAATTGTGTTTTGTTTTTTAGGGAGGGTTTTAGAAAACTTTTTTGTTTTCTTCTAAATTACGGTCAAAATGAAATCACTACAAGGGAAGGGAGGAGTCAGTTACTGTGCTCCACTTGAGCATACACTCAAGTTTGAACATAATATTCCCCCCTTACTATTAAATATAAAGGAGTAATGTTCTAGACATTCTACCTGCAGTTGAGGGATTTAAGACCTTTTATTATTCAACAAATACTAAATTCTCATTCCCAAAAACTGCAAAACAACTTGGAAAAATTGAATGGAGGAAACCAAAGTTTTGGATGAACCTATGCAAAGTCCTTGCGTTTTTCACATTTGCTTAAAATAAATTAGTTAATTTGAGATATAAAAGATTGATCATTGGTTATGATAGAGCAGTTTCTGAATTGTACCTTTTTTCTTGTGGGGGAGTGACGTTTTCTAATGGGTACAGCGACTGGGTGAAACATGTTTCCTAAAATGCTGGCAAGGAAAGGGTATGAAAATGCCAGCTACCGCCTTTGTTGCCACTGGGCACGGGTTCCCTGGAAAGCAGGTTCCCACGCCGGGCCGCTTCGGCCCCGCCCCTGCGGCGTGAGGGCGAGCGCCATCCTGTGTCCCTCTTTCTGATTGGCTACGGGACGTGCCTGCGGGCGGTCTTCCGAGCCTTGATTGGCTATGGGCGAAGGGGCCAGAAGTCTGGTCGGCTCTTCGCGGGAAGGTACCTGGTGGCTTGGAACCCAGACCCTGGACCGCGGGCGTGGGGAAACAGCTGGCCTGGAGGAGACTGACCAGGGAGGGAGGAAGGAGCCAGGACTCCAAGGCTCTCTGCGCCTTGCTTGGGGAGAACGCCAACAGGTGAGTCGCCCCTTCCTCTACTCCTGGAGGTGGTCCTCACACCAGCAGCACAGCAGGCGGTGTCGGGGCCGCCGAGGCTAAAGTCGTACCCTCCAGACCTTCCACTCAGCCGGCCCGGCGTGGGTAGACGCCCGGTGCTGTGGGCTGAAAGTTTCTCTAGAAAAATAGAGGTCCCACTTATGACTGTGCGACCTTTTGATTGGTCCCGGAAATCCTCTTCCTTGGACCCTCGTTATTTCTTGCTTATTATAAACATTGGGATTAATTTGAAACCGTCAGCAGATCATACATGTTATAAAAGTAGGACTTGATTGAAATTAGTGGTGCTGCAGAAGGGGCCGGACTAAGTATAAAAACTGTATACATTACAAGTGAATTTCATTCCTCAAAAATGCTTAAGAAACATGAAACATCAGAAGAACTCACACTGTGATTTAACAAACATTTACAAGAGCATTACTATACGTGGGCACAGGGCTCTGAGCAGGTCTCCGGAGTCAAGGGGTTGGGTTTGAATCCAAAGTCTGCTGTTTATTAGCTGTGGAACCTTGGGCAAGCTACTTTACCTGTGTGTTTCCTCTTCTTTAAAATGAGTTGTGATAATTTAATGAATTAGTATATGTGAAGAGTTTTCTGAATATGGTATTAACTCATTTATCTATATAGTCACCCAGGAGATAGTGTCCTCATTTTCCTGATGTCCTATCTGAGGCAGGGAGAGGTGAAGTAACTTCCTCAAGTCACAACACTACTGACCAGGAATTAAGCCCAGGCTGTATCCAGCAGCCCACAGTTGTAACGGCTACATTAAGTTACCTGATGAACTTGCTTTGTTCACTCAGTTTCAATTGGCAAATACTGATTTTGGTCCTCTATGGACCAAGTTCTTTACTAAATACAGGAGATAAAGCAGAATAGCAGTCAGACCTCGCCCTCCTAGTGCTTATAAATCTAGTACAAGTTGTTCAGGGCTGGACCACAAGGTGTCCATGTATCCTGCTAAAATCATTTGCAAAATGTTGTGGGTATGTGTCTTTTTTTTCCTAGGAAGAGTCTGTGGCTGTCAGATTTTTAGGTGGTCCAATAGTTATCCAAAGAAAGGTGTGAAGTAATATTGTTTTAGCAAAAGAGTTAGTGCCTAGCATGATGCCAGACACACATATTGAGCCAAAATTAATTCTTCCTAGTTGAATGACGAAATTCCAAGAGTATGAAAGTGCTACCATAGTAAGAGTTAACAGCAGGGTGCTGTGGAAGAGTGCCAGGCATCATCCCAGCACACAGGAAGGTCACCAGCAGCGTCAGCTGGTGAGGAAGCAGTTCACCCCAACACCGGTGAACTGTCTCTGCCCTTGAATTGAGACAGAAACAACTCATCAATAGCTGTTGTACCAGTACCATGAAACTCCATAATGTCCAGGAGGCTTCATTTATTCATTAAAGTAAGAAGTTTCCTTGAGAAAGTGGCACTTAGACTTAGGAGTTAGGGCATTTGAGCACGGAGAACATAGCCCACAATCTTCAAAGACCACATGCTTGGAACCAGCGTAGCACCAGGACTGAAAGGAAGCGGTTGTAGCTGGTGTAGCAGAGAGACAGGTTCAGGTGACGGCAGAGCCCAAAGAGGACCTGCAGTCCATGGTAAGGTACCTTTATGTTTTATTTTGTCTTTATCCAAAAATGCCATTGAAAAGTTTACTGCAGGGAGATGATAAGATTACATTTGAGAAGAAGCTGGAGAAAATCCCAAGTGGATAAACTGAGGTCTGGATGAGAACAAGATCTCTGGAGAGAGATTGTCAGGTAAGAAGAGGACCCTGCAGAGCAGATAAAAAGGTGGCCCAAAGTACAGAAAGGAAGGAGGAGAAACGAGAGATGAGAGTGTCCTACAAGTGCAATGAGAGACATTTCAGGAGCAAGTGATCCACTGTACTGAAAGCTACAGAGATGACAAGAGATAGGAACTAAAACTACTCATTGGCTCCAAGCACCTGGAAGTTATCTTTGTCGAGAGGCATAGAAGTTAAGAGGAGAAGAAAAGGAGAGAAAGAAAGATAAGAATAGTTGAGGGGCCAGGTGTGGTGTCTCCCCCATCTCTACTAAAAATAGGAAAACTTGCCAGGCATTGTGACGGGCACCTGTAGACCCAGCTACTCAGGAAGCTGAGGCAAGAGACTTGCTCAAACCCAGGAGTTTGAGGTTGCCTTGAGCTGTGATGATGCCACGGCACTCTACCCGGAGTGAGACTCTGTTGCCAAAAAAAAAAAAAAAAGAATTAGTTGAGGGGAAAGGAAAGGTAGGGTTTTGCTAGAGGGGCAATTAGAGGAAGATCCACAGCAGTGGAGCATCAAAGGAGGATACAATTGAAGGAGTGAATGCCTGAAAAATAAGAGCTTAAGAGTTCTCAGGCCAGGGTAGTTGGGCTCAACACAGGAGCAACAATTAGCCCGGATAATGAAAGGTATAACCATAGAGAAGGGGAGATAGTGGTCTGTTGATGTGATGAGTCGCTCTCCTTTCTTTGTACAGGTAAGAGGCAAAGGCACTGGTTGAGAGTGAAGGAGGGAATGGGGACAGGAGGCTGGGAGTCTAAGTTGAGATTTGATACAGTTGGTAGAGATGTGAGTTGACCAGAGACTGATTGAGGATGGTCTGGCAGAGGATGCCCAGTATGCAGCAAAGACCAAAAATGAGCCTCTGGCCCTTTCGGGAAATTGCAAAATAGGGGAATGAAGATGGAACCTAGTTTGAAACAGAAGTTGTATTTAATTTCTGGTAAAAGAGGCATCCTCAACCATGAGGAAGAAAGGATTGTTCAAAATATGGTACTTGGGGATAATTATTGATAAATTCTGTTCAGACTCTCAGCTCACATCTAGAAATTTTAAATGAACTCTGGTTCCTGTAGGAGCTAACTTTTAAAATTCAAACAAAAATGGGTACATATTTACTGATTCTTTGATGCTTAAAAGCAATAGGAATTACAAAGGAAGGGGAAACTTCCCCAACCTTCCTTTAACCATTAAAAATTAACCACTTTATTCTGGCATATGCTACAATACAGATTAACTTTGAAAACAATACCCTAAGACTAAGTGAAATAGTCCAGATATAACATATGATTCCACTTACATGAAGTAGCCGGAATAGACTTCATAGAGACAGAAAGTAAAACAGAGGTGCCTGGGGGCTGGGACGAAAAGGGACTGCAGAGTTATTTTTTGATGGGTACAATTTGTCTTTGAGATAATGAAAAGTTCTGGAAATAGATAGTGGTAATGGTTTTACAACATTGTGAATGTACTCAGTACACAGAATTGTACACTTGAAAATGGTTAAAATGGTAAATGTTACGTTATTTCTATCTTCCCATAATTTTTTTAAAGTGACTACTTTCGCATGCTGATATACTATCAACATCTGAAAATAATTCCAAAAATGAGAAGATTGTATTTCTCAATATATAGACTTTATGCAAGTCAGTTTTTAGAAAGCAGAAAGATTGCAATTTAAAAGGGAAAAGGAGGAAATAGTTGATTCACAAAAGGAAATAAAGATGGTCAAGATAATTTGTTAAGAAGAGCTCAACCTCATTAACAATAAAGGAAAGTGATGTTGAATTAGTGTTACATCATTTTCACATATCAAAGTGAAAACTGGTGAATCACTCATACAGCTTATGAGAATGTCAGCTGAGATAGTTTTTCTTGACATTAAATTTAGCAACTTGGCTTTTCAAATGTTCACATACCTCTTCAGGAATTAAGTCTAGGAATTCAACCTAAAGGAAAAATATGAAATGTAGACAGACATTCAGTATATATGTAAAAATTATAAATAGCCTAAATGCTCAATGTTAGGAATAAATTACAAAATCATAATGTATCTACCCTAGACCATGCACTCATTTTAAATGTTTACAGAGCATTTTTTTTTTTTGAGACAGAGTCTCACTTTGTTACCCTTGGTATAGTGCTGTGGCATCACAGCTCACAGCAACCTCCAACTCTTGGGCTTAGGTGATTCTCTTGCCTGAGCCTCCCACGTAGCTGGGACTACAGGTGCCCCCACAACACCCAGCTATTTTTTGTTGCAGTTGTCACTGCTGTTTTAGCTGGCTGGGGCTGGGTTCAAACTCGCCACCCTCTGTATATGGGGCTGGCACCCTATCCACTTAGCCACAGGCGCCACCCTACAGAGCATTTTTAATGCCATAATTACAGTGTTTAAAATAAAAGCAGCAGAAAATAAATTGTATATATTAAGTGCATTCATTATGTAGAGTCAAAACATTAAAGCTTTTGACTTTTATAGTCAGCTGTGTTTGCTTATCAGACAGAGATCAAGACGGACTTTAATTGTTCCAACAACTCACCAGAACACGTCATAGTTCACCCTGGAGTGAGCAGGAAATAGGAAACAGCCTGATTTTCTCTTAGCCTCGTTGGGTAGGAACCTCTCTGTTGGTGGGAGTACCTTGCTATGGTCAATGTACTTCTTATGTTTAATGATTAATTTTCTTTAATGTATCATAACTCCAAAACCAAGCCAGCTGCTTCATCCGGTGCTTAGCCAGACCAGGAGATCTCTTCCAACCCTGAAGAACTCCTGGCTAAGTTGGATTTGCTGGGATACAGTATGTTGGTCTCCTATGTGGCCTTAGGAGATTTTCAAGGAAAATTCATAGTTTTTATAGTTTTTACTTCATAGCCTCAATTTAGAACCTAATTCCCATATACAAAGCAGCCTTGCTTTATGTATTCTTTACGTCAAAATACGAACAATTGTCCTTAGGTGGTGGGATTATGAAAGTCTGCTTCCTTATACTTTTCAGAATTTAGCGACTTCTCTGTAATAAAGGTGCGTTGCTTTTATAAGCAGTTATGTTGAAAAACAAGCATTTAACATACATTTTTTTACTTTTCAGTTACTCTTTGTAAATAATATACCTCTGTTTAAATACAATATAAAGTCATATTACTACAAGACTTTTAGCTCCAGAAATTTCCTAGTACTGGCTACTATTGTTTGAATACTTCCAATGGACCAGGCACTGTGCAAAGTACTTGACGTGCATTTTAACCTTCCCCATATCCCCGTAAGGAGATTCTATTCCCTCCTTATATAGATAACTGCTGTTATTAATACTCATCAAACATTTACTGTGAGGCCCTGTTCTAATCACTGTTACTCTGTTTTATCTGAGGCCAGCCACCTGACCCAAGGTTGCCCTGTAATTATGAGCCAGGACCGGGTGTAGGCAGTTGACTACAAAGCCCACACTCCTCCCCAGCATGTGGGTCAGAAGAGGGACCTAACCTTGGGGAGGTCACGCAAACAGTGAATAGGGAGTGGGGCCCCAGCCTAGATCTGCCTGTGCTTCATCATTACGCTGGACCTTCTTATTTAGCCATTTTTTTTTTCTGAGACAGAGTCTCACTCTGTTGCCCTTGGTAGAGTACCATGGCATCACAACTCACAGCATATCAAACGCTTGTGCTCAGGTGATCCTCTTGCCTCAATTTTTCATTTTTGGTAAACAGGGGGGTCTCACTCTTGCTCAGGTTGGTCTTGGACTCCTGAGCTCAAGCGATCCACCCACCTCGGCCTCCCACAGTGCTAGGATTATAGGCATGAGCCACTGCACCCGGCCAGCCTATACATTTTAAAAAATACTTTAAGCCAGGCATGGTGGCTCAAGTGTGTAATCCTAGCTACTCAGGAGGCTCAGGCAGGAGGATCCCTTAAGCCCAAGAGTTCAAGGCTATAGTGAGCTATGATTACCTTCCAGCCTGGGTGACAGAGCCAGTCCCTATTTCTTTAAAAAAGTACAGTGGCTTATGCCCATAATCCTAGCACTCTAAGAGGCCCAGCTAGCCTGGACAACAAAGTGAGATTCTGTCTCCCAAAAAAAAAAAAAAAATTTTTTTTAGATAAAAATCCTTTAATATTTTCATCTTAGTTAATGGTATTTGAAATTATCTGAAGAAAACTCCAGTTGAACCACTTAATTATTTGTCTCTAAGCACTAACAGTGACCTATCTTTACAAAGGGTAAACCAAAATAGGAATGTTGTTCCTTATTTTTCCTAATAATCATTTATTCTGATTAGTTAAGACATGCTTGAAAGTGAAAAGTCCTCAGCATATATGGCAAGGGCATTATTAGAGGGATGGGAAATGGCTTTTCTTTCAAACCTACAAAGAATAAGGGAGCGCTGCTAGGACTGAGGCCTTTACACGCTCTGGGGTTCAAACCAATAAATTAGGTGTGTTTTCATTACCAAAGACAAAAGTATCAGTGAAGAAGTTAAAAATACGCCACTCTGATACATTGACTATTTTGAGTTAAAGGCATTTGAAAAATAGTAGGTTCAAGATCATTCTGACCTCTTTTGTTTCTTAAAAGCAGATTAAATTTTCAGGTAAAAGATACTCTTCCCTACAACAAAAGGATTAACATCCTTATCCTCAAGGACCAGAAGTCAAGACTGAAAGACTATGCACCCTTGTTAAAATAATTTCTTTTAAGCCTCACCCACATAAGTAACTGGCTCTAACTGCTTCTTTGGGTCATTTCCTTATGAAGGCTCCCGTACCACATAAATTTGTATTAAATAAATTTTATGCTTTTCTCCTGTTTATGTCAATTTCATTCTTAGGTCCAACTGGGACCTCAGAAGAATGGAGATGGAGTTTTGCTGCCCTTATAGTGTCAAAGACCATTCTGCATCCGACACAGGTCATCTCACAAAGCCTAGAGATGTCAACTTAGACAATTTAAAAAGTGTGATCACCATTCCACAGCTGACCTGATTTTCTCTAGCTCCAGTGGGGCAAGTTATGTGGCATTTCTCATTTTACCTGGCTAAGACTTATTTTAATTCTGGATTAAAAGGAATTTCATTCACATAATTCATATATATATATATATAATAAAAACAAAACAACTGGCCCATGGCTTAGCGCCCATAACACAGTGGTTCCAGCACCAGCCACATGCCCCAAGGCTGGCAGGTTGGAGCCCAGCCCAGGCCAGCTAAAGAACAATGACAACTGCAACAAAAAAATAGCCAGGTGTGTGGCAGGCGCCTATAGTCTACAGTCTCCCAGTTACTTGGGAGGCTGAGGCAAGAGAAGTGCTTAAGCCCAAGAGTTTGGTGTTGCTGTGAGGTGTGATGTCACAGCACTCTACCAAGGGTGATATAATGAGACTCTGTCCCCCTAAAAATAAAAACTGGCCATGCTGGGTGATTACTCAGCAAAAATATTTACTCATAAAATTAAGCCTGGCATGGTAGCTCATGCCTATATTCCTAGCACTTTGGAAGATCCAGGTGGGAGGATCACAAGAGTTCAAGACCAGCCTGGGCAACACAGTGAAACCCAGTCTTTACAAGAAATTAAAAAATTAACTCAGCTTGGTGGTGCATACCTGTAGTCTTAGCTTCTCAGGAGGCTAAGGCAGTAAGATTATTTGAGCCCAGGAGTTTGAGGCTGCAGTGAGCTGATGGTGCCACTGCACTCTAGTCTGGACAACAGAGTGAAACACTATCTCAAAAAAAATAAATAAAATTAGAGATGATCCCCCACCCCTTTCTTAATAAGTAACCTGCTTCAGCTAAACATCAATTTGAAAGTGTGAAACATTTCAAAACTTGTGTGTGTTTGTATGTGTCACCTAAAAGGAAACAACAGTTATAGGAAAAGGAATTTTTCTTTTTTTTTTTTTTTTTTTTTTTTTGAGACAGAGCCTCAAGCTATCCCCCTGAGTAGAGTGCCATGGCATCACGCTCACAGCAACCTCCAATTCCTGGGCTCAAGCGAGTCTCCTGCCTCAGCCTCCCAAGTAGCTGGGACCACAGGCGCCCGCCACAACACCCGGCCATTTTTTGGTTGCAGCCATCATTGTTGTTTGGCGGGCCCGGGCTGGGGATTCGAACCCGCCACCTTAGGTGTATGTGGCTGGCGCCTTAGCCGCTTGAGCCACAGGCGCCGAACCAGGAAAAGGAATTTTTCAAAATAACATTTGAAGTCTGTGAACCACTGAACTCATTGTGGTCTTGCTGTTGATCTGTAAAGTGGAAGTTACTACTTCACGGTGTTATTGCAAACCTCAAATAGACTATGTATAAAATGTAAGATATCTAGGTAATGAAGAGGTGCATTACATTTACTTCAAGAAACTATTGAAGATTTTTTTTTTAAGACAGTCTCTATTGCCCTAGGTAGAGTGCCATGGTGTCACTGTAGCTCACAGCAACCCAAACCTTAGGCTCAAGAGATCCTCCTGCTTTAGCCTACTGAGTAGACAGAAGTACAGGCATGCACCACCATACCTGGCTCATTTTTCTATTTTTAGTAGAGATGGGGATCTCACTTGTGCTCAGGCTGGTATTGAACTCCTGAACTCAAGCAATCCACCCACCTTGGCCTCCTAGAGTGGTAGGATTATAGGATGAGCCACTGTGCCTGGCCTGACAGAATAATTTTAATACTTCACCTGACTAGTTTTCCTGTTTGAGTCCATTTTATTTCCATACTTAAAAACAGCTGAAATTTGGAAGTGTATGTGTTGTAAAAGTCAACACCCTTATATTAAAAACCTTTATTTTCTTTGATACAATGAGTACATTTTGGGTCCCGGCAGTGTTAGCCAGTAGATTGCAGCACGCTGTGAAGGTTGCTAATGCAATCCCAGCCCTGCGGGCTGTGTTCTTTCAGAAAGTTGTGATCAACTCCAAAATACAGACCTTTTTTAGCATGCTTCACCTGTACAACTGATAGACAGTCGAAGAAAAAAAAGACAACAGAAAAGCTCTATAAATTTTCAATTGACATTAGGCGGATTCATAGATTAAGAGGCTGGGTGTGTTCAGTGGATAAAAATCCTATGTTGAAGAAACTGCAACTACTTAACAAGAACTAAGCGCTGATGAGACTGCCATAGCCAGTATTTTGGAATGCTGCCCCAAAATAATTGTCTGTAGTCCAACTGCTGTTAATACTCAGAAAACTCTGACAGTTGGTCTGCAAAAATGAGGAAGAGTTAATCAAATTAATAGAGCAGTTTTCAGTTCTTTTAGGAGCTGACTCAAGAATATGGTCATCAGAAGAATTTTTACAACTTCATCTAATATTTTTTTCATAATCTTGTTAAGGATAAGCAAATGATAACAATTCTCCAAGAGTTATCTAAATGTAGGTGGCTCTGGGGCAACATAGAAGTTTGGCTACTAAAATGATTAAGCGAACATTAAATTCTCCTGCAGCCATAAAGGAAACACTAGAATTTCTCTAGGAGCAAAGTTTCTCAACCTTTGAAATTTCAACTTCTGTCCAAACTCAAAAGATGTCTTTTTCAACTTTGTCCAAGAAGTACAAAGAACAGTATATTCCCTGCTCTAAAAATGTTTTTAAAAGCACAGATTATGACCTTAGACAATTAGTTTTAAAACATCTTGCCCTTTTATATTATTCTGTTCCAGTTTTAGAAAACAGAATGTAGAGAAAGAATTTCCATAGCTCAGGTAAGAGCGACCCCAGTGGTTGCTGCATTAATGCCACAGACAGTACAGTACAGTATAAGGCTGAATTCCTTAGGCTAGTGGTCCCCAACCTTTTTGGCACCATAGACCAGTTTCATGGCAGACAGTTTTTCCACGGACAGGGTGTTGGGTGGGTAGATGGGGCAGGAGGTGGAGTCAGGCAGTGATGCTGTGTGGCAGTCCACAGCCAGGGGGCTGGGGACTACAGCCTTACGCTATACAGTAAAGGATGTACATAGCAAATCTAAATGGATCCAAAAAAAAAGTGTGAAGTTAATTTTGGTAAAATTCAAGCCAAAAAAGGAAGACTATTATCTAACACTGTGGCACCACTAAATATTGAAGAGTGACTTACTGATACTTTTGCTAGCAGTACACATTGAAACTGGCTAGCAAAGACTTATTCAATTCAGGCAGTTTATAGGCACCTGTAATTTTAAGGACCTGCTTAGCTGCTGAGGTATGTTGAAGTTACCTCTAAATAGATAACCTCTGACTCATATGCTATATATTAAAATAGAAATTGCATTTATTTTAAATACAGTTGGCAACTTTGACCTTAAACTGTTATATCAGAATCATATATAATATTAAATGGTACATCAGTGTGATATAACTGAATGGTTTCTAAGAAACTGACAACTACTCCCTTAATTCAAAGTAGGAAGCACATCTAATCCAGGATGCAAATCCTGCCTTCCTCACTACCACCTCTGAAACACACCCTACTGTAGTCTGAATCCTATAGCTTTGTTTTAGGTAAAATATTACTAAACTTCTATACCTTTTCTTAGAGAAAACCAATTTCATCTTGTGTTGGTAACAAAATCTTGGAGAACCAAATATTACTCGTACAAAAAGAATAGTTACAAAGGCCGGGCATGGTGGCTCACACCTGTAATCCTAGCACTCTGGGAGGCTGAGGCTGGTGGATTGCCCTGAGCTCACGAATTTGAGACCAGCCTGATCCAAAGCAAGACCTTGTCTCTAAAAATAGCAGGCATTGTGGCAGGCACCTGAGTCCTAACTACTTGGGAGCCTGAGGCAAGAGGATCACTTAAGCCGAAGAGTTTAAGGTTGCTGTGAGTTATGACGCCATGGCACTCTGCTAGGGGTGACAAAATGAGACTCTGTCTCAAAAAAAAAAAAAAAAAAAAAATAGAGCCTACTTGATCAGGCCAATTATATCTCAGTTATTTCAATTCTCTCTCTCAGGAAACACGTGCATTTGTTACTTTCCTCCAGTCTGTCTTTCTCATTTCCTGGGTAGAGTGTCATGGTGTCAGCCCAGCTCACAGCAACCTCAAACTCCTGTGTTCAAGCCATCCTCCTGCCTCAGCCTCCCAAGTAGCTGAGAATACAGGTACGGACCACCATGCCTGGCTAGTGTTTCTATTTTTAGTAGAGACAGTCTTTCACTCTTGCTGAGGCAGGTCTCAAACTTCTGAGCTCAAATGATCTACCCACCTTGGCCTCCCAGAGTGCTAGGATTATAGACGTGGGCCACTGTGCCTGGCCTACTTTCCTCATTTTACAGATGAGGAAACTGAAGCTTGGAGAAGCCATTTAATTGCCGAGTAGCAAAGCCCAGATTTATTAAAATCTGGCTTCTGTTACTGTGTGAAAAGAAAGAGGATTACATATAAATTGGCATAAGAGAACTCACCCCTACCTGACGTACCAAAGAAATTAGTACTAAAACAAATTAGGGGATTTTTATGCAGTTTGCATAAAAGTTTTCTCTGTAAAATTTCTTAACTTATAAATTACCTAGGGCGGTGCCTATGGCTCAGTAAGGCATCAGCCCCATATACTGAAGGTGGCAGATTCAAACCTGGCCCCGGCTAAACTGCAACAAAAAAATAGCTGGGCGTTGTGGCGAGCGCCTGTAGTCCCAGCTACTTGGGAGACTGAGGCAAGAGAATCGCCTAAGCCCAAGAGCAGGAGGTTGTTGTGAGCTGTGACGTCACACCACTCTACCAAGGGCGATAAAGTGAGACTGTCTCAAAAAAAAAAGAAATTATCTAATTCATATATATTTTCAATGAATGCAGCTTTTTAGAAAGCTTTCTGAAAATCCAGGTCTGCCTATAAAGGAAAGGCAGTGTCATTGCTGGTACTAATTTTAGGGGTGGTGTTTTCAGTTTCCATTTCTAAATCTTGTTCTAAGATAAACAATATCCAGATACAGACTGGCTCACTTTCTGCTGTGAAGTTTCAACTTTGTAACAAATACACAACCAATTGACTCTGATACTGACCATTTGTGTACTAAGTGTGCAATTCTGAGTATGAAAAAATTATGAAAAATGCAAGTAGTATCCTCAATCTTTATCCTCCATTCCCCAAATGCAAGTAACTTTCATTTTCCAAATCCATTTGATTCCTTAGGGTAGCGAGAGACAGCTCTGTGTTCAATGCTTCACAATTCTAGGAGTCGAGTACCATTTTTTACTATTCTACAGATGAGACTGAAGATAAGTCATATAGTCAAGGTCACACAGGAATGTTTGTTCGAGAAAAAGAATAGCAGCCAGTATGGCTGGAGCAGGGCTGAGTTAAGGGGAGAGTGGCACAAGAGGAGATAAGCAACACAGGTCCATAAAAGGAGAAGAATCCCATACTAAGTATGATGGGAAACCCTTGAAAAGATTTTGGTTTATGCTTCTCAGCCTGGCACAAATTATCAGTGGTGCACGCTCTCAGTTTGGAATATATTGTATGGTTACCTTGGTAGTTAGGTGTCAATTTTGATATGCATACAAACAGGTAAATGTCTAAGTCTGGAGTTGTGCCAAGTCAGGACTGAAAGTACATATGCGTTATCTGCATAACTATGGTATTTAAAGCCAGGGCTCTAGCTGAGACTGATTGGACAAAGAGTATAGATTTGGAGTAAGATGGCTGGCCAAGCCTGAGAAAGGCTGATCAGAGGAAGAAGCTGGCCAGAGAATGAACAGAGGACCTGATCAGTAATAATACATACCAGTGAGAGGTTGGCAAAAAGGAAACCATCGTTTTACCCTATCAAGAATGGTTCTGGTATAATGAGAAGGTTAAGAAGGCCAACTGGAGTGGTTTAAAAAGAAAATGAGAGATTAGGAAGGAGCAGGAACGTAGGAGACTGAGCACCAGGCTTGCAGAAGCGGTCACCCGTTCTAGAGCGGGACAGTTTTGTGGCCTGGAGACAAGCCCTCAAGCAACTGTATGTGTTAATGAGGCCCCCACATCTATTGTATGATGTTTCAGTAAAAGGCCACAGCAGAGGTTACTCCGGGCTTTGCCCTGCACCCATGGGAAGCCCACCTCTTGCAAGCATGTACTTCTAATTCATGTCTCCGCTGTTTTTATTCGCACGATGATGGGGTGCCACAGTGGTACTGACACAGAACTATAAAGTTTTTCAAGAAATTTTGCTGCAAAGGGAATCAGAAAAATGGAGATTGTAAGGCTGAGTAATTTTTGTTTAAAGAACATGTTGGGTATGACCACTGTTTATTTTTGCTTAAAGAACACTGATAGGTATGACCCACGAGGGACAAATGAGAAATGAAAAAACTGCAGGATTAATATTCTTGAGGAAGTGAGGGCGGGGTGACTTTGGATAAGAGCTGTTGGCTAGTTGCCTTTTGAGAGTAGAAAAGGATGGAGGAAATACATAGGAGGGTTGGGAAGAAGAGAATAGTCATTTTGAGGAGTGGGAAAGTGAACATATAGCAAAACAGTCTATAAGAAAGTTCAGTAGAGTTGAACAGCTATGTATGTTTTGCAGCCATTAATTTAAAAAGAAACTGGTCAGTACAGTAGCAAAATGTAGGTGCTTAGGTGTAGGCACAGAGAACCAGAGGCAGTTAGTTACAGGAATACGTTGGTAGTGTACTCTTAAAGATCTACATCATGCAGTATACTGACTTTATTTTCCCTTAAGCCAAATCCCATTCCATTGTCTTTTGGCCCTTAAACCTCTGAAATGCTTTTGCTTCACTTTTTTCCATTCTTACATACTAACTCAGATCTCCCTGTAAAATACAATTTTAAAAATTCAGAATGAACAGCATTAACAGGGGAGATACCCTTACATAAATCACTAAAGACAAACTTTATTTCCTCTGTGAAAAAAAGCTCTACCCAAATTAAATTTTCTTCAGTTTATATACAATTACACTAAATTCATTTCTGTAGTAAAATATAATTAGTCACCAAAGTGAATGTGATCACCTGGAAGACTTCCAGTGAGCCTCGAGTTTGCCTAATAAATCAAGCACATGCGCCGCACAGAATGTCCACACCGGGATAAAGACCTAGTTACTCAGTTGCCCCATTTCTGTTTCTGGACATAAGCTGGAGAAGCTGAGCCTTAGACTAATTTAAAAGAGATGAGAATTCAACTAACACCGCAAGTTAACCTATTCCACATTTGTAAAAAGGAAATAAAGATACTTCCTTCAGGCTGCCACTGTGGCTCTTGCCTATACTCCCAGCACTCTGGGAGACCGAGGTGGGAATATGGATTGAGGGCAGCTGTTCAAGACTAGCCTGACCAAAAACAAGACCAATCTCTACAAAAAATGGAAAAATTAGCCAGGTGTAGTGGCACATGCCTGTAGTCCCAGCTACTTAGGAGGCTGAGGCAGGAGTTGCAGGCTGTAGTAAGCTATGATTATGCTACTGCACCCCAGCCTGGGCAACACAGCAAAATCTTGTAAGAATCTCGTAATGATTAAATGAGATGATGTATGGACATTAAATACCTGGCAGATAAGGAGATACCCAGTAAATATCATTTTTCTACTATTCCCATCTCTTTTAGTCACATCTCTCTAATGAGATACCTAAATTGGTTCCACAGCTACTCAGAACACAAAGAAACACTCCCCTTTTCAAATTCCCTCCATCGGTTTTCAAACTTTAATGTGCACAAGAGTTCCCTGCAGAGATTATTAAAAAGCAGTCCTGGGCCCCGCTGTGCAGAGATTCAGCAAGTTGGGATAAAACTTAAAATGTAGAAATCTGCATTTTAAATTTTAATTAAGAGTTACTTAAAATATATTTGTATTTCACTATTGTATTAGCATGAAAATACTTATCTGGGGATGTCAGGTTTGCATTGTACTACCAAAAAAATTTTTTAATTGGCCATAGCACTTTCTGAACTGCTATGTAACTAAAAATTTTAAGATCAACCTGTTTTAAAATTTCTTTATTTCTTTAGATCTTTATGAAACATTCCATCTTCTGCAGATCATAGTGCTTTATTAACAAATTTGTGTGTTCTTTTCCATTCCTTTAATACAAAAAAAATTATTCAGTTATTCTCATCTGACATTCCACTAAGTACAGGAGTCATAATGTCAACATTATCAGATCAGTCATTCAAGTGGGTCACACAAGTTTATCCCCATTGTGTCAAATACCCACTCAAAGGATAAGTTTAATAACAGATGCCTCCAGGTGTATATAACAACCTTAATTTCTTGACATGAACTAGTCCTGTTTAACAGGTCAAAGTGCTAGTCTACGTAAATAAGCTGTTAAGACTCAAGTATACAGCTGTACATATCATCAAATGGCAAGTTCATTTCAACGAGAACTTCTACACCTGTACTAACGTTAGTACAGTTTTCTGCTGCCATTGCAAAAGCCCCTCTGAACAAACTTATAGTTTAGAATTTTAAAAATCTTAATGAGATAAAATGTACCAGGGTGGCTTTTCTGTAGCAGAAATTAATCACAACCATGTGTCCTCAAGCAATTTTAAAGACAAGCAAAGTTGAAAATAAATATGCAAACATACAGTAAGCTAAAGTCTAAACTCAGAAATTCAGATATAAAGCACAGCAGAGTCTATGACTGTAGAAGAGAAATTAGAAATATAAACTAGCAATGAAGCAATAATTTCTTCCAAATAGCAGGAAACAAGTTCTCTAATACCATTATTTAGATCATTATTTAGTGTTCACCTATAAACTTTAAAAATCCTCTTACTATGACATTTGACCAGATATACCAACAAATAATACCTTAAATTGTACTGCATGAAATAACCACTTAATTACTAATGAACTCTTTAATGACTTTTCAAGTTTGTATATAATAAAAAGGTTTTGCTGATATTTATGAAAGCTTTAAAAAGTTAAGTTATATTCTTATCCATTTGTTAATCCACATTATTAATACTCTTAGTGTTTCACAAACACTTAAGCCTCTGATGTTACAGCACTCTGTTTCAAGTTCTCAGGCATGCTATTTTAACTTATTTACTGCAGGGAATCACCCTCTCTCCTCCCCCACAAAAAAAAGGTAACAGAGTGGAGACAAATATGCAGATTTAAGCATAAAGTTAAGATTTTTCAGGCTTGAATCATAACCCTTAGTTTAAGAGGAATGCCAAGTATATATGCCAATTGTTAAATTTGTGTGAAATTGAACATAAGTTTCATCTAAGTCATATTCTTTGAGAATGAATGAGACATGATAAGACATATTAATAAGATATGACACTTATCATCCATCATCAAAAACTTCAATTCCCTGCCTGGAATTAGCTTGAAAAATGGTACAAAGTCTACAGCTGCTTTATAGAATTATATGGTAACAGATTTTAAAAGCCTACATAAATCTTGAAAACACAGATTTTATATTAAAACTAATCTCTGAAGTCCATTTCATTGAATTTGAAAGTCAGTCCTAACATACTGTAGTTGTTTTTACTGTGTTTTTTAAAAGGGGTACTACTAAAAACACATCCTAGAGATAGAATGTGAGGGATTCTTTTTATATCTTAGATGCCTTAGGTAATTAAGAACTTAAAATTATTACTTGTTCCTCCTTAATATGAAATTCTTGCAACATAGCTTCTGACCAGTGAAAAATGTTCCTTAGGCACTGTGAGGTGTATTAATGATGGAGCATGAACCTAGGCTGAAGTGTGTCATTTGATTTTTACTATTGACAAGACAGTCAACAAGCACTATCTTATCCACTGAGAGCAAGAAATGCCTTTACCTCACTACTCCTGAGATTCTAAACAGGGAAAACTAATTTAACAATCTTCAAAAGAATCCATGGATAATTCTAAGAACTGAACATACTTAGGGTATTAGAAAAGATGTTTTCTTTTGTAAGGCATCAATGATTAAATCAATAAAATGCATATCTAACAAAAGATGGTTAACAGTATCATAAAACCATTTACCTTTTCTTTTAAATTTCTCTAATTCCTGCTACTTTTGCCAACTTAAATAAGAAAAGAATGCCTCTTGGCCTAATCAACTATGGTTATAAAAAAAAAACTAAGACACCTGAAACTATTAGGCACATCAAAGGTACAGTTTATATAGTTCAAGGTTCCCTTCTTAAGGGGTAGATGAGTTACCTGGCACATTATACATATGGAATTGTAAAGATCATCTACTGAATTCAACTTTCACATTTTTAGTCAAACTGAAAGACTTATAGTAAATATTCAAACATACCATATCTTCAGTTACAACGGAGTAATAAGTATAACATTTTACCAGATAAAAAGCTGAAACTTAAGTATGAGAAACCTTCATACACTGTGCTTGTATTGGTCTCTTCTTTTTAGACGAAAGCCACTCATCAATACTTTCAACACAGCAGTTTAGAAGATAAATGTCCAAAACAGGTGACTTGGTTATAGTCCATAATTTAGCAATTCAATGCCACTGGCATCATAGTGCTGTGGAGAGCAAGTATATCTCCATACTTTAGTCAGATTTGTCTTTCTTCTTTCCTGTTAAGGGCACTTTGTTTACAACAGCAGACCCAACAGCTGTCACTCCTCCAGCCACCGCAGAGACACCTCCTTTCACCAGCCCTATTCCCATGGAAGGCACAGTTGTAACAGCTGTTTTGGTCACCTCCAAACTTTTTCCACCAATCCAAGCCACACCACCAATGGTGGCACCAACCGCTCCCTTTGTAACACTGAAGATACCCCCAGTCACACGGGACAACATGCCTGGCTGCTGCTGTGGGTGATCTTTCATTGAACCTAATGAAAGAAAATACCATGAGATAGTCAAATATAAGTCTTTAAAAGAACAGTACAAATCATTAAGTAACCCAAGACTCCTTCACAATCAGGAGTTTGATTTGATTAGGCCAATCACACTGAAAAGTTCTTCCCTCAAGGGTACAGGTGTACCCATATTTTTACAGTATCTTGGTCTACTGCTAAGTCTTAGTATCATGAGAAGAAATGCTTAAGGCTAGTTACTACAAATTAGAATCCTATTTTAAATGCTGCCTTCATTTACAGTTTGACATTAATAAATAACCTTTATTTTGTATCTTAAAAGGAACAAGAAAAAATAAAAAGTTAAATACTTTTGGCCATTATTATCTGGATAGGATTTACTCACTTAATACTGAAATAATCTTCATAGAAAGTAGTAGTTCTCAAGGTATAGTCTGGGACCTCTGATGGTCCCCAAGATATTTCCAGGGGTCCACCAGGTAAAAACTAGTTTCATAATAATATTAAGATGTCATTTGTCTTTTCACTTTCATTCTGTCATAATTCTACAGCAGTTTTCTACAAGCTAGATGGTACACAATAATTCAAAACACTGAATTCAGAAGCAAGTGCAAGAATCTAGGAATCATTCATTAATCCAAACATTAAAGAGGTTTTTTAAAGTGTATAAATAATATTACCTTGCTCACAATTTTTATTTTGAAAAAGTTTACTTTTCATAAGAATATGCTAATTATGTAACATGTAATGAGTATACTCCATAGAAGGGTTCTTCTAATGAATCAAATATTCAAGTTTTCATTGCTAAAATGGTAAAATACTAACAAAGACACAAACAAGTTCTTTAGGGCCTCAATTCTTGAGAATGTAAAAGCATCCTGAAACCAAAGTTTCAAAACCTGCTAAATATACACAGTATGACAATGAAGTTCACAAACTCATCACCATGTGCTTACACTGGCAGCACTGTGGAAACAGCTCAGTAAGGTTTCATAACCTTAGTGTATCAGTGTCTCATAGTTGTGTTCATGTTGATGTGTGACAGTGTCTTGCTGAGTGGCGTCCTTTACTGCGTTTTTCTGTGCTGTCATGAGAATGTCAGAGCTTCAATTAGAGCAATGAACAAACCTTCATAAATTAAATCAGGGACATGTTAGTCCAAGTTTATGGGGATAATGCCATGAAGAAAATAGCAGTATACAATGGGCTTAAACATTTTTCTGAAGGGAGAGAAAGTGTTCACTGTGGAGAGAGGTCAGAGCAGCTAGTAACAAGCAGAACTGATGAAAACCCTGCAATAATTCATCAAATTGTGCATCAAAATTTTCAGCTGACTGTGAGAAGCATAGCAGACCAAGTAAACATCAATAGAAACACAGGAAAATCTTAACTGAAAATCCTGGCCAACAACTCATGGCTCTTGCATCATGACAATGCACCAGCTCACGTGGCACTGTTTATGAGGGATTTTTTAGCCAGTAAACAATAACTATATTGAAACACCTTCCTACTGACCTGATTCTGGCTCCCAATGACATTTTTCTTCACCCAAAGATAAAGGAAATATTGAAAGGAAGACATTTTGATGATACTCAGGACATCAAGAGCAATACCACAAAAGCTTTGATGGCCTTTCCAGAAAAAAAAAAGCAGTCCAAAAGTGCTTTGGAGGATGGACTAGGTGCTGGCATCAGTGCACAGCTTCCCTGGGGGGGTACTTAGAATGTGATCATGGTGATATTCAGCAGTGAAGTATGTAGCACTTTTTCTAGGATGAGTTCTCAAATTTAACTGTCAGACCTTATATTTGGGTCTCTGCTCTATGTATCCCTTAATGATGTATTTAAAGACACAAAATTACTCATCATTTTGATTTAGATGTTAGTAGGTAGACAAACTACAGCTTTTTAATACTTAAATCACCACCTCTGTAATTCTTATGGAAGAGTGTGTGTGCTTTAAGCACCTAGGTAACGTAATGATTTAGGCATCAACAACACTTAAGCAGTTGTGTTTTTCTTTCTCTAAACCTCAAAGAAAAATATTGGGTACTTAACACAATTAAGGCTTTAACCACTGAACAAGTACAGTCTCACATACAAACAAAAGGTAATTCTTTAGTACACCTCTCCAACTGAGACCACCAAACCAACTAGATCCTGGTAGAATGAGTTTATTAAAGACAGTAACATGGGGAATCTGACAATATTTGGTGGAGGAAAAAAAATTCTAACAATTGAGCCCTAATACAAAAGGCACAAATTTATCTTGAAATAGTTTTTCTTTTGACTGTTTAGAGGTTTTACATTCTATCACAAGTGGGAAAATCTCACTAATAAGCCAAAATAGTGCAATAGATATAGCAATGGCTAAATGTCAAAAACCAACTAAATTTTTATTAAAATTATGTAAGTAATAAGCATAGTTAATATAATTTTTTAAATGTCTAAAAGACAACATATAGATGAGTGTATGAATATTATTAATTATAAAATTACAATGAATATGATGGTATTCAGCAAATATTAAAAAAGAAAAAAATTATGAAAGGACTATATAAATTGGTAATTCTTTTGTAATCAAGGTCAATACAGAGGGAAAAGAGGCAAAATCCTGTTTCAAGGATAAAATATTTACTGTCTCCTGCAGAATACCTCATTACTAAAATTAATCTTGCTAGGCCAAATCTGGTACATGTGCATTTAATGAAGACAAATAATTTTTCTTTATCAAATTGGATGTTAATACAGTTTCTCTCTTCATTTATAGTGTATTCTTAATTATCACCATATAAATTATCTGCTTTGCAAATTACTCTTGCTCAGCAGTTGGCACAGAAAGACATTCCTTAGGCTTTATTCTCTTTAATAATCATGCTATTGAATGGCCTTTATTTATCCCTTTCCTAATTTCTTTTTTTTTTTTTTGCAGTTTTTGGCCAGGGGTGGGTTTGAACTCACCACCTCCGGCATATGGGGCTGGCACCCGACTCCTTTGAGCCACAGGTGCCGCCTCCTTTCCTAATTTCTTTCTCACAAAGTCCTTGTTAACTTTCTCACTGAGCCCTAACTTTTCTTTTTAAAACTCCATTGTTCTAGTCCTAAAAAGTAAAGTAAGTTAAAGACCTGAGCTAATAATTTTCCAGGTTATTTCTCCACCAAACAAATTAAACTAAACCTAATCAGCTAGTTCCTCTATTTTCTTTTAGCTTTAACTGTAAGCTTTTCAAAGTTATTTTCATAAGTACTTTTTATATTGGTAGCAATTTCATTTTTGCCTACCAATATAAAAAGAAAATTTTAGACGGTGGGGAGGTAACAGAGCTGGGAAGAAAATATAGTAACTAGAGTCATGACCTCCAGAACTATCAACATGGAATTCTCTGAGAAGATCACTATTTACATTAATTTTAGTACATAGTCCATCCTTCCTCTGTACCCACCCTTACCCTTTCACATATGAAAAGAAATCTTAATTTATAAAATGGTCTTAAAAGAAAAAAAAGGAAAACAGACCTTATACAACACGTATACTAAAAAATTGTTATCTCTGTTCACCAATGTCTGTGCTTTCTCATTTGAAGCTACAAACATTACCCTTAATTATTGTTGCAACATATTTACTGACTAGGTAAATGGGTTATGTTTCTTTAAACTTAATAAAAATAATGAGAGTTTTAATTTATCAAAATGCTTTTTCCATTCTTAGTTTTATAGATACATACTTACCTTCTGGTGGTTCATCACTAAGGTATGATGGGATTTCCTGTTGATTTTTATCTGCCTGATTCATGATCTCCTAAAAAATAACAAACACATTTGATATTAAGCTCCACATGTGAGACTTTCTCTTAACACATGCTACATTAAGACTTACTCAACCTGATTCAGATAAGCATGTTAAACACCCATCCCAAGACTACTTCATCTTGTCTCTTTCCTACTTCAAAGTGTAGCATTTAAGAAATACAGTAGAACCTCAATAGTTGGCCACTTCCTTACACTGACTGCCTCCATAAGTTGAACTAATTTTCACAGACCGGACATGCACCACATGTACATATCAGTATAGTAGGCCTAGTTCCTTATGTTGACCACCTCTGTATCTTGACCAGTTTGGTACAGATCCTTGGGTGGTAGTTGCATTTACACCAATGGATAATATAAATCTTATCTAAAACACTAAAGAGTGCAGTCATGGTATTATAAGCTTTCTTTTCTTTTCTTTTTTTTTTTTTTTTTTGAGACAGAGCCTCAAGCTATCCCCCTGGGTAGAGTGCCATGGCATCACAGCTCACAGCAACCTCCAACTCATGGGCTCAAGCGAGTCTCCTGCCTCAGCCTCCCAAGTAGCTGGGACTACAGGCGCCCACCACAACACCTGGCCATTTTTTGGTTGCAGCCATCATTGTTGCTTGGCGGGCCCGGGCTGGGGATTTGAACCCGCCACCTTAGGTGTATGTGGCTGGCGCCTTAGCCGCTTGAGCCACAGGCACCGAGCCTATTATAAGCTTTCTTAATGTGGTTTCTGTGGTGCTTCAGCTTAAACTGAAAAGTACTAACTGAAAGAGAGCTGGAAGGTGGAGGTTAACAGACAAAAGTCTTAAAAGTTTCCTCCTACAGAATATTGGTTAACTTAATTGCAATTTCTTTCACAGCAGGTTTAAAACTTACACCATAACTAAAAAGTGTTCTTTTTAAGTTGTCTTAAAAAAAATTGATATCACTCTATTATAAAGATGACATTACAATCTGAATCAGTAAATGATAGATTTTGATGACTTTATTAATCTTAGAGTTCTTATGAACACAGGTAGTAACAGAAGTCAAAATCTATTATGAAAAAAATACATACACTATGATTACCTCTAAATGAAAGAAAATAATAAATAAATAAATATATAAAATAAGCCATGTTGGAGTAAAGAAAGCATTGGGCTAGGTGCAGTGGTTCATGCCTATAATCCCAGCACTTTGGAATGTCAAAGTGGGAGAACTGCTTGAGACCAGGGGCTCGAGACCAGCATAGTCATCATAGTAAGACCCAATATCTATAAAAAAATTTAAATTAGCTGGACATATTTGTGCATGCCTGTAGTCCTATCTACTTAGGAGGCTGAGGTGGAAGGATTGCTTGAACTCAGAAGTTTTAGGCTGCAATGAGCTATGGACCAAACCGTTGTGCTCTAGCCTGGACAAGAGAGCAAGACCTTGTCTCTTAAAAAAAGAAAATATGATTAAACTCTTTTTTACCAATTTCATTTACTATCTTAAAATAATTACTTTTAAATTACCCACGTAAAGAATAGGACAGATAAAGATTGGTCTCAAAGTATTCTTTATGACATACCATTGTCCTTGGTGAGAAAACTAGGGCTGTGATCCCAATAACCAATAAGGTATTTTCTGGTCGTACATCCTTAGGGCCTATATTCTAGTATCTCTATACATACAAGAGATATTTAAAAGGATATTGTGAAAACAATGTACTTCAGTAGATTAGTTAATTAACAAATATTGATTGAGCACCTACTCTGGGCCAGGCAATGTTTTAGGTGCATGTGATACAGCAGTGATCAGTACAGACCAAAAACAATCTTGCCCTCATGACATGGACACAGCAGTAGGGGAAGGAAAATAAGACTACAGTGTATGCCAGGTGCTGTTAAATGCTATGAGGGAAGAGAATGTGAGATATATATATATATATATATATATATATATTTTTTTTTTTTTTATTGCCAGGGGCTATGTTTGAACCCACCACCTCTAGGGCTGGCGCCCTACCCCTCTGAGCCACATGCGCCGCCCTAAGAATGTGATATTTTAAATAGGGTAGTTTGTGAAGGCTTCACTGCCTTCATGACTGTGGAAGGAGGTTAAGGATACAATTTATTTAAGCGAAGAGTATTCAAGGCAAAAGACACAGAGAAAAGGCCCTGAAGCAGGAGGTTACCTGGAGAAATAAGGAACAGCCACAACGAGTGGCTCTGGCCACATCAAAGGGCACTAAGAGAGAAAGTCCCACAGTGAGGTCTGGAACACATAGGCCCTTACAGGCAATGACAGTGAATGGCTTTTAACTCTGAGAAGACTATGAAAAGAACTCAACAAAGTGTGAAGTGTTCTGATTCACATTTTTATAAGACCATTCTGGTGGCTTCCAGGAGAATAAGCAATAGCAGAACAAGACCAGAGGCAGTAATCCAGTCAAAAAAAATGTTGGTGGCTGGGATGAGATACGTGGTAGAGACAGAGGTTGTGAGAAGTTGGGATTTTCAAAGGTAATTTAAACTTCAAGCAATTCATCCTACTATGCCTTTAAATCCTAAATCCTGTGTAAGATGCACCCCACAGAGTCTAATAGCACATGTCGTGTGTTTCATAAATATCTATCTATTGCTCTGACTCAGGCCACCTATCCACAGCATCTGATCTTCTCCTTGTTGGTTTGTGATTTTAGCACATCATCCCATACATACTTAAAGGTTTAAACTATAGTAAAGCTATATAACCTCTTACAGAAAAGCCAAAATAGTAATAATAGCCAATAATAATAGCCAATCTATTACTGGGAAAAGAAGCTTTTGACTGATTTGCCCTAATTTTAAAACTTCCTAAACCAGAAAGTTACATTTATTCCCATTCACACTTTCTATTTATTTATTTATTTGCAGTTTTTGGCTGGGGCTGGGTTTGAACCTGCCACCTCTGGCATATGGGGCCAGTGCCCTATTCCTTTGAGCCACAGGCACTGCCCTCTATTTATTTTTTTACCTGGAATTAAATGTTACTTTTTAACCTGCAATATATTTTCTTTGATCTAGTATCATAGCATAATCATAACAAATCATACAGTATAGTGGTTAAGGCTCTAGGAGCAGACAGCCTGAGTTTGAAACCCAACTTGACCACAAATTACAAGGCAGAAGACAAAATAACTTCATTAGATCCTTGTTGTTTAGGAGATTTAAAATAGAAATTAAAAATATTCTAGCCCTAGCAAGGCATAGTGGTTCAAGTCTGTAATCCTAGCACTATGGGAGGTGGAGGCAGGAGGATCCTATCTCTACTAACAATAGAAAAATTAGCCCGGCATTGTGGCTGATGCCTGTAGTCCTAGCTACTTGGGAGGGTAAGAAAGATCATTTAAATCCAAGAGTTTGTGGTTGCTGTGAGTGAGGCTGATGCCACGGCACTCTAGCCTGGGCAACAGAGTGAGATTCTGTCTCCAGAAAAATAAAAAGATATTCTAGCCCTAACCCTAAAATGAGAAAACTATTTAACAAATTCTAAAACAAAACATGCAGAAATTCCTGGCAGAATGTGTGTGTCCCTTCTGAGGAATATGACTATTTTGGAGCCATTTTCTTCCCCACTGGACTGTTAATTTCCCGAGGATAGACACCTTTGTCTCATAAGCCCACTACCTGTACATTATACACACAAATCCAGAAGATCAACAGAAGCCACAATACCCTATCCAGAACTATGGGGAAATTATATGTACTCATACATCTTATGTATTTTAGCTAGAGTTTAAAAATGGGTATGACTATGATAGTAATTACATACATTTCAAAACTGACTTTCTGGTCCCTACCCTACAAAGCCCTGGTAACAGTTCTACCTTTTCCTCCTAATACAGAATCCCTTAAAAAAATTCTTTTTCTACATTCTATCTTATAAGTAGAAAAAGGTCTCCATGTAAAAAGATTAGCAGTGCTCTATCCTGTGATAAAATAAAGATATATGTGCATCAATCTACATAATATGAACTGACTTCATCCTTCTGTGGGCAGTCAATGAGGAGCCATGAACAGAAGAATACTGTCAGATCTGTGCTTTAAAAAGCTAACTGAAGCAAGAACAGATGGAAGGACAGAAAGATTTAAATACAGTTAAGTGGCTACTTTAGTAATCCAGTGAGATAGAATATAATAGTCTAAACTCTGCCAGTTTTTCCTACCTAAATAAATGCTTGGGCAAATATCCTAGGATCACCCATGACTTCCTCTTTTTTTATATCCCCATCCAATCATCAGTAAATTCTGTTGCCTAAATAAATACAAAATACGATCATTCATCACCTCCACTATTAGCATTTCAGTCTAAGTCATCACATTCTCTTACTTGTACACACCACAAAATCTCTGGTTTCTGAGCTTTGCCCCACACCTTTGCTCTTCTTCCTTCAGTCCAGCCATGTCATACTCAGCTGAAAACCCTCAACTCCTTTTTACTTTGCTCAGACTAAAATCCAGAGTCCTTACAGAGGCCAGACATTTAACCCTCATTTCTACTCTTGATATTATCTCCTGCCATTCTTGCTCATTCTACTCTAGTTACAGTTCCTCGTTTATCTTTTTCTGAAAGGCTCTTCCCAAGATAGAGATCTACATGGCTCGCTTCCTTACTTCATTCCAGTAGGTGTGCAAACATCCTCTAATCAAGACATTCCCTGACCAGTTCCTAAAAGATGAGCACTCTCTGTTCCTCTATCGTTTTCACCTAATCCTTCTCTATTTCTTCATAACGCTTATTGCCATTTGATATATGCACGTTTACTTTGTCTCTCCCAATTAGAAGGTAAGCGCCATGAAACAAGGAGTTAGCTTTGTTCAATACTCATCTCCAGAGCCTTATCAGATGCATGATGGACACGCAAATACTTGAATTTTTTGTATGAAGTAGATTATAACTTGAATATTAAAGTGAGATGAAAGGGAGAATCTAAGATGGCAGATTTCTAGTGTAAACAACTAAGTAGAAAGAGATGATGATGAAGATGGGGATCTTAGATGAGAAACTGCTTCTAAAAGATGAAGGACTTGTTTTTTGAACAAACTGTATGTGAAATGCCTTCAGGGCATCCACAGGAATGTTCACCAGACAATTGGATTTAAGAGGACGGGGACAAGCATGCATGAGTTACAGCTGCAGTTCTGAGAGTAGTCTGAAGTGATAGCTGAAGCTGTGGGCAGTGGGAGATAAGATCAAGGATAAAACATAATGAGAAACAGACTAATAACTTTAACTAGACTGCTTATATTTAAGAGGTAAGAGAAGCCAACAAAAATAAAACATACCTGAAAATGAAGAGTCAAATGAATACAACCTTATAGAAGGCAAGAGAGGAATTTGTAAGGTTTTTTTAATGCATACAAAAAGACTGGAGGAAGCATACCAAAATGTTAACAAAGATTGCCACTGGGGGTAGAAATTTATATAGCATCTCACATATATATGTATGTATGCATTATATAGTATATATAGCATTTATATATGTATAGTACATATGGTATTTGTTCTGCATCTTGTGATTAACACCTATATTTTAATTTTCTACTACAAACATGTATTGCTTTTATAACTTAAGTCTTTGAAATCAGTGATATTCATAAAGGATATTTTTAAAGATTATGTAGTTCATCTAGTCCTAGTTATTCTTAGATTTCATCCACAGATGAAGCTGATCATCTAAAAAACAATGCACTTGAGTCACATAATGCTTAAAGAAAATGACAACACTGAATTTTGTTCACAGTTAAAAGGAAACCCTGACAAATAGCCTTATGCAGGCTATTACTACATTAAGTACACACTATTAAGAACATTACCTGCTACTTCACTCGATGGTTCTGCCATGGAACTCCACATAAGAAATTTCTTTAAAGGTTAATTATTCAGAAAATGTCTCATTTCTGTCAAATATTTGGCATGTTTTAAGATCTATGTCTTTTCTATTTAAAAGATACAAAAGTGTGATGTGTCTCCCTTGTCCTTTCGGCTTCCAGGAGGTTTATAGCTAAAATCCCAGCTCAACTAGGTAGGCTCCTGTGGCTCACATAGCTATGTCCTATTCTTTCCCACATGAGCCCTCCCACACACACCCCCCACCCATCTTAAGACCTCCACTTTGGTTGCTATTTTTCCCTGCTTTGAAATTTGAATATCTTATTTATATTTTCACCATGTTTTACCATTTTGTTAATGCCTGTTTTTCTTGTAATCTACCTGATAGTACTTGTGGAATAAGTGGGATAAAAAGAAAGTATTTGTATCCACATTAACTTTAAGCATCACAAGAAAAGATACATACCAAAATATAGCTCAAAATTTGGTTAAAAAAGAGAAAATTCTAAGCTACAGTTGTGCTTTTCAAACAAATGTACCCTTTTTGCCTTCACTTAATGTTTTATTGTTTTTAACTTCAAAATATTAAGGGAGTACATGATTCGTTCTTTTAGTGCTTGAGTCCTGGCTGTAGGTGTGCCCACTGCCCAAATAGTGTTCATGCTACCCATTAGATTGGTTTATTCCACTCTTCTCCTCCCCTCTCCTCCCTGGTTGCCTTCCACTGAGTTTTACTTTACTCTGTGCACATGTGTGCTCATAGGTTAGTTCCAATTTAATAGTGAGTACATGTGGTAGCTCTTTAAAAGTAAGCAGTGGTATGCGAGGGACTTCAAGAAGCCAGTGGAGAGAAACGATGCATACCTTATACTCTAAAGTAATTTTTAAAAATCTAAAATGCAGTTTTATTTTTAAATGCACACACATTAAAAAGTAAAATGAAAGTGCTTGGGTATTTTTGAAAAATAACTAGACTTTCCAAAAATTTCATTCTCACCTAGGGCTGCTTCAAGGTGTACTCCCAGCTCTCCTTAGCCAGCCCAACCATACTCCCACTCCCACCATCAGTTCAGTTCGCTCTGCCCTTAAATTAGGAGTATTTCTGTAGTAGAGTTTGAAATGTAGAAAGCTAGATACAGTTATCATATAGAAGTATTCATTTAAAATTATTAGCAGTAGTTACGAACAGGATTATCAATAAACAACAAAATAGCAAAACTAGAGGCCTAACAGGCTGGGCATATCTACCTAGATGGACCTTCAAAATCGTAAGAGACACACTGATTGGTTTTGTTTTGTTTGTTATATAAGTTTCTTGTACATCACCTGTCTCATATAGTATTAACATTCCTCTAGAACTCTAAGGTTAATAAAAATTGTGTAAAAGCCACAGTATTTGAGATTTTTTTTCTGAATTCCTAATTTGATCATTAGTTACCTGAATTACCTTATCCAGGTATTTGCTAAAAATCCTTAATTATCTGTAGTGCCATCTTCACATAACCCATTCCTAACCTTTACACACATACAAGTGCCAAACCTTTAGAAATATTCCACTTTATGGATATTACCACTCTATTACTAAGGAGAAATACTTTTTCTATTTCCATCCTGCTCATTAACACAACTCATTATCACCATTGCAAGAAACCTATTTATCTTAAACTAGGAACTGTGAAGACAAACACACCCCTAATCTTCTTAAACTGCAAGGTGTAAATAATCTAAGAGAATTAAAATGTATTTATGTAGAGGCTGGGTACAATTGCTCACACCTGTAATCCCAGCACTTGGGAGGCCCAGGTGAGAGGATCCCTTGAGCTCCGGATTACAAAAAGTAGCCAGGCATGGTGGTACATTACTGTAGACCCAGCTACTCAGGAGGCCGAGTCAGGACTGCTTGAGTCAGGAGTTTGAGGTTACAGTGAGCTATACTGATGCCACTGTACGTTCTAGGGCAAGAGAACAGATTTTGACTCAAAAAAAAAAAAAAAAAAAGGTATATATGCAGAGACAGAGTACAAACTGACAGTAAAATTTCCAAAATGACCACTGTAAAATGTTACCCTTAAAAAACAGAACAAACCAAATTATTAAATTCTATACAAACATCTGCCCTAAACTCAACAGGCTTGGGCCTAACACGTGCCAGGCACCATTATGCACTTAAGATTTCAGTGTGATTAAGCACACACAGGCACTACTCTAAACAACAGTTTACAATCTAGTGGGAATACACTTTTCCAGCACTTACCAGTTTAGTGAATCACTCATTCCAGAAACAAAATACATCTGCTCTCTGTAGCTCATAATGCAAATATATCTATTAAAAACATACTAAGGCAACAATCACAAGCAACAGCCTTCAGATCAGGACAAATGATTTAACTTATTCTACGGACATACATCAGTTCTACCTTTTGGTCCTGATATGTGAAAAAACTATTACAGTACCAGCTAAAACTGGTTATAAGTGAGTTTTTAAGAAATTGCCAAATGTCAAAAACTTCTTTGCTACAGAATGGATATTATGACTGCAAATTTATCAGCAATGACTTCAAGCATTATGGGGAGTAAAATAATTCTTGTCCAGTACAATGGCATCATAGATGTGGCAGCTGGCAAATGTATTGAGCAAGGATTAATAACACCACAATTCCATAGAGGGTAATTTATTCCAATAATAGAAATAAGTAAACAAAGGCCTCTTGAGAACCATTTTTTCTTTTTAAAGGAGAAAAGATGAATCAATGTTGTTTTGGTTTTCAGTAACATTTTATATATAAAATTTTTATTCATAATGAAAACAAAGTCTGAAAATAGTACATAAATTTGCCTCTGGGTATCACCCTGTACGTGCCAAAGAAAGTTAAATAACACTAACGTGTTATGTAAGCCTATCTACAAAATATACCGCACTAAGTTTACCTTACTCAAAATACCTGTTATTAAGCATAAGTAACAATAGAAGAAAAAAGATCTATAAATGAATTAACCAAATTCTTCTACATATTCTATCTATAGAAACTTTGCCGCATCCTCACTGCCACATTTTAGCTTCTTTGACAAGTAACTGCAAGGAGATTAGAAAATATATTTGTTATACAGAGTTGTAATACATATACACCAACAAGCAGTAAAACACAAGCTCACTGTTTCTAGACTTCTCTAGTTAACTATCCTGAGCAGGCTGCTTTTAAAGATGGCCCCTGCCCATTAAATCAACAGCACATAGACCACAATAAGTGCATTGACTCCAGCAAGGAAAAGAAAAATAATCTGCACCAAAACTCCTAAGTGCACATCTACTGATAAGTAACTGAGTGTCAAAACGGCAATCTTTAAAGTGTACTTAAATCAAGCATTAAGCAGAATCACAATACTCTGTCAAACTTGAGAACTAGTATACCAGTCATCTTCACTACATTAAGCCTCATTAGATCAACAGATATTTGCTTCCCTAATGTTCACACACAGGCACTGAGGCATCTCTGTGAACAGGCATAGAAAGGCCCTACTCTCAAGGTGTTTATAATCCAGTAAGATATCTTCAGAAAGTAGAAAAAGAATACTCAATGACCGGAACAAAGAAAGGTAAAGATTTTCCTGGAGTTTTAAAAAATCAAATCCACATGCACACACTGACAAATCTACATTTACATTTGTCTAATGTAGCAACCACTACATTTCTAACCATGCTTTATATATACATATATATATATACATATATGCATGGATGAATTGTCACTGAACTTTGTTTCTGGTACGTCTGTTATAACAAAGACTAATGAAAGTGGAAAAAACAAAACAGGATACATATGGGCTTATTAAAGGTTACTTCCCCCTTTCTATATAGTAGGCATGGGCACATGCACACATTTATTTACCTGCTGGTGTGATAGTGTGATATCAATATTCCCGGGAAATCCTTGAGAGCGCCCACACAAGTGGGAGTTTTAAAGGTTAAACAATAGCATATAGCAAATAATCACAGATAGTAAATGCCGTATTTTCATTTGGAATTAGCACAGTGTTTTCACAAGGGCACAATAAGTCAAATAAGAACTCTCCTCTTTAAGTGTTTCTAAACCTTTCCTGGCGGCCTCTCCTCTCTCATCGATTCCTTTAGGTACTACCAAGTTTTTTTTTTTTTTCTTTAGCAGAGGGAGTGACGTGGCAGGAGGCAGAAAATGACCCTGTAGGCGCCGTGGCTAGGGCTGAGCTTGGCACCTCCTACCTCCGCTCCACGTTGGACACCCAGCACACCCCACGCCCGTAGGGTTCCAGAATTTCTATGTAAGGAGGGTTTGGGAGAGGCGATCTGAAGTGTGAGCTAGGGGATCAGTTTTGAAGCTGTGTGTGCACAGCAGACAGTTTCTGTCTAAAGACTACGGAGGCAGGGATGGCACCAATGGGTACTCCAGAGCCCCTCTCCATTCCCGCACTTTCGGCTTTAGGTTAGGCGTGGGGGGTGTGGGGGTAGACCCTTCCTAATCGGGAATGCACTGGGAATGCCCACTGGGGGGCCAGCGGTGTGTGTCTGACCCCCAAAGGAAGGTTTATCAACAGGTCGTGAGTTAGTGGGACCGAGAAGCCCAGCACACAAGCCCCTCCGCCGCATCCCTCTCCCAGGCTGTGGATGACCCACCCCCACCCGGAGCCTGACACCTACGATGCTAAGGTGTTTGGCGGAGGCCCCCAATCTCCAACCGTGGAGAGAGAGTCGGCGACACATAAAAAGGAGTAACCCCACAAGCGAACCACCATCCGCCCGCAACTTCATCCCGCCCCTCCCTTTCCCACTCAGTCTCCCCCAAAGGCCCCTCAGGGCAGCCAGGCCCGGGAGGTGGGAGGTGGGAGGTGAGGTGCGGGAGCGCTAACGGAAGAAGGCTAGCGAGGAGGGCAGGAAGCTGGTACTGCGCCCCCTGCCCTCCCAGCCGACTAACTCACCGCTAGGGTCAGGGGCCGGCGCCTAGGGCTGGGGCCGGGCGGAGGGAGTGGGCAGCACCGAGGAGGGCTGAGGCTGCAGTGGCGGCCGGCAGAACCCGAGGCAGTTACGGGCTCCGGAAGCGTCCCCTGAGGCTGTGGAGCCAAAAGACACCGTAAGCGGCGACGGCCTCGGGCTGCGGACGTGGCGCCCGACGCGACCCGCCCCCTCCACCGCCTCCTCAGCCCCCGCCTCGTCTCTCGGCTCAGGCGCCGACGCGC